GCCTGGTTAACTCTTTCTCAACAGTAAGCCCTCAGCTCAAATATTACCTCCTGAGCTTGACACTCATCTCCAGAGACCTACCTGAACAAGCCCCCACCGTGCCCAGTCAGGCTCACTTACAAACGTGTTTGTCTTATTTCTGTTCCCTTATTACCACCTGATATGACGGGTGTTTTTGTTTGTAAATTCACTGCCTGACTCCCCCAACCAGAATCAATGCTCCATGGGCAGGGAGCCTCCTGTTTTGTTCACTACTGTATCTTTACTTTAGCATCTAGCACAAGGCCTGGCCACCTTCCGGGCCCAATACTATTTATTAAATTAGCAAATGGGTGGATGGATTTACATTAGATCATGTCTAAAGTATTAATTTCCTTCCACTCCCTTCTCATTTTCCTCAATGAGCTCTGTTCACAATCCTTAGGGACCCCAGCATCATCTCTAAATAATATGAATGTAACTCTCTCCCATTATTCCCCCAGTTAGCTGGTCAAAGAAAGTCAAGTACCTGGTTGGTTGTTGCAGGCTGAGCGGCCAGGAGTTTTCCTTATGATGCCCTTGATCTTCAGGCCCTGAGAGGGATCTCAAGTAAACCAGGACTTGTTCCCATCTAAGTAGAGCCAACCTCACAAATATCCAGACTGACAAATGTTTACTGAGAGTGGTTTTTTGTTTGTTTGTTTACAACTCCCAGAGTGTCTCAGTGTTTGCGTAGAGGCCATTAACGAACGGACAGTAAAGCTGGTGTTGTGGGGTGGGGGAGGGAGGCAGCGAAGCTAAAATTAAATGACAAGAGGCCTTGACAACTGGAGTGGATTTGGAAAGATAAACCATCTTGGGGATCGATGAGAAAGAGAGAATCAAATAATGAGAACTCAAATTTTTCAAAACACATTGATACAGAAGGATTTCATTTTTGTTGCTTGCATATAAATTTTCTACTGGGTCCATTGCTTCAACCATTTTACCCTTATGGTAAAGCCTTATGGTAACCTGTCTGTCAAAGAATTACTGTGCTTCCTGTTTTCTACCCACCCACCATCTACCTATTTATGTAAGTACATCTGTGGATAACCTGTACAAAGCACTTCTTTCTTTCCCGCTTTCTTTCTTCCTTTTTTCTTTTCCTCCCTTCCTCCCTACCTCCCTCCTTCCCTCCCTTCCTTCCTCTTTCTTTTCTTCCTGTCTTTTTTCTTTTCCTCCCTCCCTCCCTCCTTCCCTCCTTCCCTCCCTTCCTTCCTTCTTATCTGTCTATCTATTTATCCATGGACCTTGGGTTGTTTGCATCAAGCCCATCACTCCAGCACTGCCTGAGCATTAGCAAGTCTTTCTACTGGTCAAGACAACTGGAAAAGTGAGCTACAGGTTGAGAAGATAGATTCTAATATCATATGGCCCTGAGGCTAACACCCACCAATGCTACATGCTTCCTACGACCTTGGGCAAATTCCTTAACCTCTGTTCCTTATTTGGAAATGGGGTATCATTAACAACACCTAGGTAATGAGGGTTCTTGAGGAGTCAATGGGAGAAGCCAGTTCCTGGCAAATGACAAACATCAGTGAGAGTGGGGATCATGATAATGCCACCAAGCCGATAACGAAACTCAAACTCCTCTCAGACTGTTTCTCTTTCCCCCCATTTCTAGCACACCTGGTTCCTGGGTAACCAACACCTGGAGACTAGGGACGCATTCACCACTGCACGTCAGGCTTTCTTGGTGCACCCCAGGGACTGTCTGCCAAGGGGAAAGCAGACACCAGGGATCCCAACCTTACTCGGCATCCTCATTCTATTAATCTGGCCATTAGGCAGAGAGAGTCCTGCTGATGCCAACAGATGCAAAGCTGTGTTGTGCTAACGGCAGAGAGCATTAGAGGAATCCTCAGCAGCCAATCAATCCATCTCCTCCAACTCAGAACAGCTGCACGGGGACAGATTCACCAAGCATGGGTGAGGGCCCGATGCAATGAATACCAGGGGGAGAAGAGGTGCATGGAGGGAAGGGCCCCCAGTGGCCCAATGATCCTACGCAGGTGGGGCCTTGCGCAAGTGAAGTCACTGATGTGTGATGCATGGACATGGCTGGCAGTGAAACCTAAAAGGCAAGCAGGCCTACCTGTGGCACCTGTGCTCCAGGACGGAGCGGGTAATGCCTTTCTTAGGAGCAAAGGGTGCTGGGAGGAGGAAGTGGGCACTGACCCAGGGCTCAGAGCACATCTGCCAGTTCCTCTGCATGGCTGGGTCTTCTAGGCTCAGCCACATCTGCCATCTTACTCGTGCCATATGGGTAATATTTGGGGCACCACTTTCTGCCAGAGACGCTTCTGTGCCCCTCTTGTCTGACCTGCCTGCCAGCAGTTGAATAGGATCCCATTGTGAGTCACACGATGGGCTGAGGCCCAGCACAGAGTAAGATCTGGCCACAGACTTGTGCCAATGGTTTAAAAAAAAAAAAATCTGGTTGGGTTCCAATGTCTCTTTAACATGGGAAATCAGAACTCAGGGAAAGACAACAACATCCTACGGCTCCCCAAAGGCCAAGAACCAGATGAGACTGATGGAGTGTTGTTTGGAGACAAATTGAGTCATTTCCCCAATGGCGTGGCACAAATGCAGAAAGCCTGTCTCGTGCCATGGCTGGCTGCAGGTCGAGGCTCGGGTCTCGATGCTAATGGGTGTGACTCTAAGAGAGGCCACTGTGTAGCAGTAAGCTGTCACACTCACAATGTGCTGGCCAAAGCCACTGGCATGTGACTGGTCTTTCCCATGGAGGCTTTGAAGGGCTGATTAGACGGTTGCCATAGCGAAGGATTCAGGAGGGCCAAGGACAGAACCATCTGGCGTAGAGCCACTCTACTCCCAGGAGGTAAGATTTGGCTTCCAGAATTCTGGACACAGACTACTTTCCCAGGGGTATTCCTCAGTCTAATGAGTTTTCTTTGTGAGGAGGAACTGATAAAGAAGAGAAGGGCCATCATTTTTAAAAACACCCTGGAAATTCTCTCGCAATCTGCTGGGTAGCCTGGAGAGAGATGCACTTCCCAAAATGCAGCACACCTACCCCTGGGAGTGCCTTTAGATGCTTTTAGAGGCCACCCAAAGGAACTTATAAATTTTACTGACTTAGTATTTATTTTAATGTTTTGCAAAAAAATATAGCTAGCATGTCAAACTTGTGATTTCACCAATAGTATTGATTGAAACTGTTTCTCAACCTCAGCACTACTGGCATTCTAGGCTGGGTAATTCCTTTCTATAGGCTGGGGGTGGGGGGCGCTTATGCACTGAGGGATACTTAACAGCCTCCCTGGTTTCTACCTCCTAACTGCTAGCAGTAACCCACCTTACAAGAGGAGATAATCCAAAATGTCTCCAGACATTGCCCAATGCCGTTAGGGGGCTGAAGATACCTGTGACTGGGAACCATTAGTTTAGGACAAGTGTACTTCTGAAAGTAAAAAAAAATAATAATAATTCAAGGAAAAATGTATTTTTAGGTGATTTAATAGAACAAGTACAATTCAGCTATGGTAAACATGGCTGAGGTAATATGTGAATGGCAGAAGCTTAGAAAAACCAGACCAGAGGATGACCAAACAGGAAGAAGAAACTGGGTCCTTATCTACTCCCTCAAAGTCCCACCCACTGCTCCTTCCTGCCAACTCAGTTGTCTGGTCAGCCCTGGAGCCCATGTGACTAAACATATGTGCTGGGAAATCTGATGACAGAAGAATACAGAGAAACCCTGAGAATCCACTTTGCCCACAAACTCTGGCCTTCCTGTCCAAGGAAGGTGGAGTAGCAGAGGTTCCTGCCTCGCACCCTTTGGGAAGACCGAGGCAGAGATGCAGCGAGAGGGCAAGACCCCCAGAGGAGGGTAAAAAAGGAGAGAGGTAGGCAGGCCTTTCCAGCGAGCTCCTATTCAGCCTGGAAATGTTCCAATAGGTTTGCCTGTGTCTCACCCTCAAAAAACTGTTAGCTGTGGGGCTCTGGATGGCACCCATCTTGTCTCTATTCTCTGGCCAAATCACACTGCTAAGGACATGGTCAATCCAAAGGTATACCACCCTCCTTCAAGTCCCATATGAAAGGTAACAGTTCTATTGATTTAAAGGGCTAACGCTCACAAGTACTTAGGCTACATCAATGACTTTATGGTCATTCAGCACAACCCTGCAAGGTGGGTGCTCTCACTGTGGTAACAGCCAGATGAGAAGAGGGAGGCCTAGAGCTTAAGTGACCTGTCAGGGCCAGGAGACGTGGATCTGAAATTCCACCTAGGTCTGTTGGACTCCAAGGCCCACGCTCATAGCTGGGCTGCTGTCCTATCTCTCTGGAAGTGAAATAAGAGCCACGTCCTCCTGACAAGGCCCATTGTTCACCTGCCCCACACAGAAACAGCGTTGTGATCCAGATTCTTCACAGCTGCTGCCCTCACTGCCAAGGAAAGTTCTCCAAACCCAAAGTCATGGAAGAACCACCACATCCCACTGCATGGCTCCCTTCTGCCTCCTCTCTCCCTTTCTGTTCACCTCCTCTTGATTGTGGCTCAGAAACAAAGAACAGAGGAAAACTCAAAAGAAATGGGTATGGTTCTTTCTATGGTGCTTTCATTTATTTTTAATTTTTAAGTTAATAAAATTATATAGGTTTCATGTGTAAAATGACATAATAGATCATCTATATACTGTATTGTGTGTTTACCACCAAAGTCAAGTCTCCTTCCATCATCATTTATCTCCTCAATATCCTCTTCTACCTCCTATTGTGCTTTCAGACACCTGGGTACACATATGTATACACACACACAGAGTCAGCTGGTGTGTGTACCCACATGTGCATGCATGAACATCCTGAAAGGACAGGAGGACAGCCTTGCATGCCTGTCCTGTCCTTCTGAGCCATGGAACCAAGAGGACGCACAGACGCTCCCTGGAGAGCTGGTTCAGGAACATCAGTGCAGAGATGAGTGACAAATACCATGGGAAGGTACTGACCTGGGTCTCCAGGGTGATCAGCGGACTTGGGTGTGGGTCCTGTGGGAAGAAAGGAGAAAACACATGAGTGGTGGGCAAATAGAACCTATTGCCCCATCATCATTTAAAACAAAGCCAGATCCCTCAGTGCTTAAGGAACCCACAGGTAGGCTGCCCAACTCTGTCTCCCTGAGTCTGTGAGACATGAGAACAGCACAGCCCAATCTCCAATGTCCCCCAATATGCAGATGATTAAGGAGACTCAAGTTTTTCATTAAGAAGTTAAAAGGAAACCTACATGGAGATCATGCAAAACCATGAAGTGTAAAGAAATAGGAAACTAAGAATGTTCAGACTCTCTATATGAAGGAAAAGACAGGTCTGTAAGAGGGTTAGAAATAAACCTGAACGAACGCAAAGTCCCAATTAGGGGCAAGGCCAGCAACTTTTCTCTGATCTTGGAAAGAATGAGGGAAGAAATATGATCTAGACAGAGAAAGAGAAAAGCTTAATTCCCGGTTTGCAGAGCACATTCTAATGGGCTGGGGAAGATCCTTTGCAGGAGACAGAAGACCAGAGAAAAGTCCGATTCATTCGCTCTCTACAAAAGCCAATTGACTGGAAATGCTTGGTGGTCATGTCTCGGGTCATTAAACATGAACTTTCTGGGTGGGGGCCAGGGTGGATACAGAGAAGGAAGGGACGAATGGAGAGGAGGTAGTGGTTTTCAGCTAGTGGTTTCCAACAAAAACAGGAAACCTGGCACATAAAGGCTATTTTTGTCTGCACAATGTTGGCTCTGAATTTAGCCGTCTTGGATTTGTAATTCTGGGAAAGCAATCTCAAGCTGCCTCTTACAGAGAATGGGCATGGCGTACAAACTCAGTTGGAAGCTTTGCTTTATCCAAGCAGATTTCCCAGTACAGGCTTCTAGGAAGCCATTCAAATTAGCACCAGCTCACTGGTCTATATGGTAAACAAGAAAGAACACAAGTAGGAATCATGTCATATTTGTCCTTCTGTGTCTAACTTATTTCACTTGGCATAATGTGCCCAAAGTTCATCTATGTTGTCACAGACAGCTGGATTTCCCTCTTTTTGAAGGCAGAATATGATTCCATTATATGCACATACCACTCCCCCCGCCATCATCCATCAACGGACATTTAGGTTGTTTACGTATCTTGGTTATTGTAAATGTGGCTGCAATGAAAATGGGAGTGCAGACAGGATTCCACGCATATGCAGAATCTAAAGTAGTCAAACTCACAGAAGCAGAGAGTAGAATGATGGTTGCCAGGGGCTTGGGGGGTGGGTAGGGAATAGGGAATTGGGAGTTGCTCTTCAATGAATATGAACTTTAAGTTGAGTGAGACAAATAAGCTCTAGAGAACTGCTGTACAACATTGTACCTAAAGTCAACAATACATACTGTCCACTTAAAATTTTGTCAATAGGGTAAATCTCATGTTAAGTGTTCTCATCACAATAAAAAAAAGGACTAATAGAAAAATTGAAACATTTTGAACCCCTACACTAGATGACCTGTCACTTTCTTCATCACTCCTCTGGGTCTCTTTACAATGCCGTGTATTTATAATAATTCCGGTGAATGTAAGAGACATGAACCCAGGGGCATTTTGAGCTCTGGTCAGTTCTGACTTTTAAATCAAGATGGGGAATTCCTCTCCCCCAGTTTCACTTCTGAGTCTAATTGCCAGCATTTCTTCAATGGTGAATTGAAAAGAATATCTCACTCTAATTTCCACATTCCACCCGGGCACTGAACACTTGTCATACCCCAGGGAAATATTGAGGGGAACATTTCTCCAACTCTCCCCACATTGCAGCCTTGGGGGAATTGGAAGAGTCTTGGAAGGAATATTTCAAACCCTGACTAGCTCTTTCCCAATGGTGAAGAAGTGGCAGCTATGATGGGTGAGAACCTTCACTAAGCCACTTGTTTCGAATGAGCAGGCTCACTAGTGTAGCTGTCCCTCACAGAGCCCCTCTAGCTAACCCCTTGATCCCTCGTATACAGGGAGAGTTGTACTTCCAGTTTCCCTGTGTTAAGCAAGCACACCAGGCAGGGCCAATTTTTGCCTTCAGGAGGCAAGGCCATTCTCCTGGTGTGCGACAGGCGGCGTGAGTCAGATCTTAGGCGTGCTTAGTGAGAGCCTGCCAAGTCTGCTCTTCAGCTCAGAGAAGTCTGTGGGTGTCTGTCTCTCTTCTTCAGGTTCCACCAATGAGATCTGATTGGAAGATAAGAAGCTGCATCGGAGACTCAAACCTTAGCCTCTTTCTGAAACACATCCTTGCAAAGCACTGCACTGGGGTGTTGGGTGCATGCCCAGATTAATTAAGTTGTACTTCACAGCCCATTTGGCCATTGTTTGGGGCTTCTGCTTCATTGCTCAGAATCCCGAGGGGGTGAAGAGGGGAAAATGCCATCATGAACCCCTAAGAAGAACTTCACTGGAAAAGACCTTCGCGGGGAAACCACAGGAAATCTGTCAACTGTTTGGACAAAAAAACAAACAAACAAACAAAAAAAACAACCAAAAACAAAACAAATCAAGAGCCTGATCCCTGGATACAGTAACGTACCAACTCTTTATTTGATGTCCCAAGATCAGAGACCCTACGGGCACATGGTCAGGGGTCCAATATTCATTAAAAAGCTTCTAGAAGACAAAAGCACAAATGCTATCTATTTAGCATGTTAATTTCCTAGCCAAGAAGATAAAGTACTCACAAGTGGCCAGTCATTAACATTAGGATTCACTTGCCAACAGAATTTTGTTCCCCTCCCTCTGTGCACATTTGAAATATAGGACTCTCCCTACAGAGCCTCAGTCCAGAGGATCCAAGGTATGACTACTTATCTGTGAGGTCTCACTTTCAGCAACATCTTCCTTAATTGGAAAGGCTAACGAAGTGGAACCAGGTCAATGATGTTGTCTGCCTAATCCATCCTGTCTGTCTAAACTGGGATTCTTTGCTTTACAGTAGAGTAAATTCCTCTCTGTCAGAGGAAAGGCTCTTCAAGAACAAAGGGGAATTTGCAATGCACTCGGATGCTACCGAGTGTTTTTAGAATCTTAATGAGGTAACAGGAAACAGGGAAGCACCTTAAGCAAGGAAAGCCCTTTCATAGCAGGTACTGCAATGACTAAATTGGGGAAGTCAAACAGAGAACTAAGTAGACTGAATTCGTGGTCCTCATTCTCTACCACTCCCTGCACCCATACTCTATGGTCATGGGATTTTGCATTTCTTCATAGAGTATGCTTCCTCACCCTTTGGCCTCGACCTTGCCCATGTGACTTGTTTTGTCCAACAGGAGGTCAGCAGATACGGCTTAAGCAGCAGCTTGAAATGTGCTTGTGAGATTGAGCACGACCTCTGGTGCTTTTGCATCAGCACAAGAAGAATATGCCCCAGGTAGCCTACTGGTTCAAGGAGGACTGGCGACACATGGAACAGACCTGGACCCAATCTGTAGCTTGCATCCAAGCCCAGCCTACATCAGCCACCCACAGCCAACCTTCAGGCAATCTCTAAGCCTACTTTTGCCCCCCCCCCCACCATATATTATAAAATAAATAAAATATATTTATTTTAACCCAGTGAGTTCCAGGGTCATCTGTTATATAGAAGAGCCTCATTTTATTGGCCTTAACAGATACCGTGTTTTTACAAATTGAAGGTGAGATTCTCCCTCAGCAACTTGCTGGGGGCTCCGGTGATGGTTAACATTTTTTTAATCAATAAAGTATCTTTAATTAAGCTCTGTACATCGGGGATTTTTTTAGACATGCTATTGCACACTTAGAAGACAACATAAATGTAAACATAACTTTTATATGAACTGGGAAATCCAAAAATTTGTACTGGGAAACCCAAAAATCCATATTACAGTGGTCTGGAACCAAACCTGCAGTATCTCCAAGGTATGCCTCGGAGATGTAAGGCATTGTTGTGGCAATAACTAACTGATATGTTTTCCAAAGACTGACCTTGATAGAACCAAAACTTACTGTAAAAACACTCCAGCCTTGGAAACAAAAGGTACATCTCTCCCTAAGTCTGCAAATATATCCCACGGACTTGAAATAATAATAACAAATAGCTATGATTTATCGAGAACCTACCTACCATGTACCAAGCTTCATGCAAGGTGTACATTATGCCAAGCAAAGGAATACTTGGGTATCAGGATCTAGTGCTACCTATGAGTTAGCCTTCAGCCCTCTTTGCCAAACACACCAGTCCTTCCAAAGATATTTAGATGCCATTGTAACAGCATTAATAGAAATAATCACGCAGAATCCTCTTGCCCTGAGATAGGCAGTTTTCATTCCTCTGATTTATTCTACATTTTATCCCAGGGGCATATTACTTGACCAAGATTAAGAATAGTCACATAATACTAGAAATAATTAGTAACTTACTAAGGTAATAATTAAGTAATAACTAATGACTTGTTCTTATCATGTTTCAGGCACTTATAGCTTAACCTCTATAGATTTATCATTCCATTTACCCCTTACAACAATCCGATGAGGAAGATACCACCATTATTCCCATTTAGAGATGGGTAAACTGAAGACCAAAGAGACAGAGTAACATATCCTAGATTATACAGATAGTGCTGAAGCCTGGAATCGATCCCAGCACTGTGCTCTTGAGAAACATATGCTCTGTTATTTTACAGCAGATCTATTAAAAAATATAGTCCCACCTCAGACGATGTAATCTTGTGACCTGGATAATGTTTATCAAAAGGAAGAATACTTACAGCAAATAAAAGATTCCATCTTAACAACTACTAGAATCCTTTTTTAGCATGTGTCTTTTTTTAAAAGTAGTGGACATGGTTGATGGAAATTAGAACATGTGCCATGACTAAAAACAAAACCTAGCCACTTTGCCACAACAGGGAACTGGGTAGAGTTAGCCACATCCATCTGCACGTTTACTGAGTTCCAATTCAGCAGCTATTTCTATGCCTGGTGGGCACCATGAGGGAGACAGAAATGAGTTTCAAGTGACTCTGT